GATGACGCAACAGTACCATTACGGACCTCTTCGAAAGTATTCTATTTAAACAGGCAATACAGAAAGTTATACACCTGGCTTGGTTTATGATTGCGTGTAGAACATTAGTTGACGTATTGACTTATGGAATACCTAACGTTTTTGTTTCGCTTGAGTATATAAGTCAAGTATTTTTATAGTTCTATCTCTTTATCTTGATTTGTGGGCTCTTGATATTGGTCTTACTCTTTGTCATCATCTCTTATTTTATAGCCCTTAACCCCAACAACCAGTCGAGACAGAAGAAGATGAAAAAGACGGCCCAATTTAAATGTGTGTTGTAAAATAAAGAATTTTTGCTTGAGTTTTCTTTTCTTTACTGCCTGTGTTCAATTTATTCTTCGCTTAACAATCTTGAACATTTGCTGGAACCTTTGGATTTTTTCTTGGATATGAGTGTACCTGAATACCACAAAAGGATGACAAAAATAACAGATATGTAGCTTCAACACGTTGTTTGACGATTACAACAGATGGATGAATGACTTTCTTTTGCGTCCAACATAACTTTCCGTACAAGTTTTGTTTAACTTCAAAATAGAAAACGAGTTTATTAATCCGTGCATCCTTATTAAATGTACAGAAAATCGTTAGATAAGAAGAGTTGTCAATCCGTTAAATGAATCTTACATAGGTTTTTTTCCTTTGAGAAATATCTAAATGTATAAATGAAATATATATCGAGGTCAACTTGAAGTTTTTCTGTAAATTTTTCTCGAACTTGTGTTAGGGTAATGATATTTATTTTTATTCTGGGTTGTTTTTATGGTCAACACAAATAATCATCCACTGTTAAAGGATGTGCATGCATTGATGTAAAATTTTAAACAAAAACGAATAACTAAAAAGTGCCCTGCACATGTTTAAATATATATTTTATAATAAATAACAATATTTCACTTTTTTTTTACTAAATATTTTTCTCTAGTATTATTGATAAGAAAATAATAAACACTTGTTTGGTTGTAATAAAGCAGAAAGCTACACAATGGGCTATCTGTGCTCTGCCTATCATGGGTATCGAAACCCGCTTTCTAGCGTTGTAAGTCCGCAGACATACTGCTGTGCCACTGGGGAACATAATAAACACTAAAACTTGATTTATTATGAGTTTGTTCCCATGCAACCGAAATCCACGGTATTTAAAAAAATGCTGCTTGTTGTGAGGTTTGAGGAAATTAAACAGTTTTAAGATGTTCTTACTCGATTTTATTCACCATCATGTAGAGATTTATACTTTACAGGGGACTTAGTGAAACTTGTATAGTAAGTTGATCTTTCACCCCTCATTCCACTCTTTACAGCTGTAGTCTACTAAAGGGTACGACGCTGGCACGTAATAACTTAGACATTAAACATTTCATTTCTATTTGAAGCACAAAGCGACCCATGAAAGGTGTAATTACTGGACTTTAATCTATTACCATGTGTGAATAGGTACACATTTCGGAAATAAAACATGGAACCTGCGATTACTACATTATAACAAATACAACTGACAGAAATGAATTTTTATTGGTTTAATAAGATCAAGAGATAACAGAGTGGAAGTTAACCGTTACAAAAATGTGTGTGTGTGTGTGTGAATGCCACACAATTCTTTAGGTATTTTACTGGTTGCGCGACAATTAATTTCATATGTTAGACACTTAATCCTTGTAGAGAAAATACCAAGTGATGAAAAAAAGAAAGAAAGCATCGTGGGAGAAGATATAACTTACTGAAACAGTTTTCTAGATCATAAAATCACTAAGATTCTGCTCATAGAATTTATCATCTTATATAATTAGATAGTTATCTAATTTTCTAACTACTTCATTGTAACAAGTGAATTATAAATAGGTTCAATTAACTACTAGTACTCATATAGACTTCAATAACTGATAACAAAAGAAATATACAAACAAGAAGCAAAATTACTTGAGTTTTAATACATGATGGTAACTGTAGCAAATAGTTAAAATCTATAAAGTATGAGAAGAAAGCTTTCAAACATTTTAGACGGTCATCTAAGAATCAATAAAGGATCGCAATAATTAAGTTAATTTCGTGATTTTCTCAGCAGGTAATTTATAGCAACTTATTTAAACGAAATATGTCTAAATTACGAAATATCTAAAGAATACTTCTAAATATTTTTTGTTGTTAAACACAAGGCTGCAAAATGGACTATCTGTACTTTTCTCACCACAGGTATCGAAATCCGATTTTTTGAGTTATAACTCAGGAGAAAATATCTATCGTGTATTTTTTTTAAATATTTTTTTTAAATGCAATTACATTTTTTATTATTCTCTTTTCGACAACACTGGAAATTAGATTTCAGAATTTACGTGCAAAACTATATAAAGGGCCATCTAAGCATCGCCGTTCCTAATTATGAATTGATAGACTAGAGGGAAGGCAAATTAATCAATAACACCTATCGCTAACTCTTGACGCTTGTTCGACCGAATAGAAGAATTTGACTGTCACTTGTAGTGCACATGCGGCTCCAAATCGTGGAGTACGTTCTTGCAGAAACAGGCCTTTAACCATAAATTCTTGGATTAATAGTTCAAGCATGCTAACCACCAGGCCACGCCCAGCCCTACACAGGATAGATTCAAAGCTTTAGGTTAACCATTAATCATAATCACCATGCAGTAATTGGTTATTCTTCTCGTTTTACCTACGCATTTAGTAATCCTTGTGCTATAAACTTGCAACCTGGATGTGTACAAAATATAGGAAGACGCAGCTTTAACTATTTATGATAAGCTAGGCAAATTTGAGAAATGGTGGTTTTCGCATTAACAATTTATAATACACAAAATTTAACATGATCTTTATTGGCTTCGAAATCACCAAATTCGTAATTTAAATAATTTGGGCAATTTCAGCTTTTAGAATGTCTCGGTTCATGAAATGAAAAAGTCCCTTTTTTTTTCTTCTTTATATATATATATACATATATATGCTAATACAGATAACCAGTTGGAAAGACCATAAGCTCACTTCATAGCGCCCACATGTAATTTTTAGCATCCATTTTTATAATCGTGCTTACTAACCATTTAAAAAAGGACACAAGGTCATGTTTATACAAGGCACAACCCCTCAGTGGCACAGCGGTATGTCTGCGGCCTTACAACGCTAGAAACCGGGTTTCGATACCCGTGGTGGGCAGAGCATAGACAGCCCAATGTGTAGCTTTGTGCTTAACTTCAAACATACAAGGCACAGAATAGAATAAATTGTTTTACTTATCACTTGTTGTTGTTTCTTACACTCCCACTGAAAGTTAAACATAGAGAGGATCATACTGATAATAATGACAGATGTTTCTTCAACTAAACATTTTGTCATAGCTTTTAAGATCCGTTTAAAAAAGACAACTTAAAATACTGAAGATTCAATTACAGCAACTAGTGCAATAAATTTCAAAATTAACAACAAGATCAACGTTTAAAATGCACAGTAAAATTTTATTTGTCCGATGGCTAAAATTAAATAGACTATACGTGTTGCTGGTAGCTTTACGCCACCATCATCAGCATTAAAAACCTATATGACAAGCGGGTAATTTTATAAAGCAAAGTATTAACTCATTCTAATCTATGAGGGTGGTATAAGTATTGTACATAAGAAGTCAATATTTCTTTCGAAAATTGTGTATTATCGCCAGCTAACCCTCCATCTCTATTTAACAAATAATTATTTATTTTACAGCACAAAATGTCTATTGATTCTCTAATATTTAATTCACTTTGGCTATTAGGTTCATTTAAAATCATTGTTCCGTGCTATTGTATTGAATGACCTGTTTCAACAATGTATTCAGCAAGAGGATAAATTAGTATATGTTGTTACGTACACGACCTTTATGTTCATTAAGATGATATTTCAAATTTCCAAAAATTAGCAGCTTTTCATACTTATATAGACAGAGCATTTAAAATTTGCTCTGATTCTACTAATTTAGAAAATGATTGTTTGTTTGTAATTAAGCACAAAGTTGCACAATGGGCTATCTGTGCTCTGCCCATCACGGGTATCGAAACCCGGATTCTAGCGTTGTAATTGGAAAACGAATTACATTATATAAATATTATTGCTAACGACAGAGGTTATAATGTTGATATAGATGAACATATAATTCAAAGAAGATATATTTCAATTTTTATCAAGCAATGTCTACAGTAATATTACTATATATATACAAGGTATAAATAGCCAGGTCGCCAATGTATTCAGAAAGCCCCCCCCCCCTTCCCCCGTGGCACAGCGGCGTGTCTGCCAGAAATCGGCTTTCGATTCCAGTGGTGGGCAGAGCACAGATAACCCATTGATTAGCTTTGTGCTTAACTTCAAATATACAAACCGTATTCACAAAAAATAATCGTATCCCTATATTTAAACCACTTAACAAAAATAAAACAATACTTCTTAGTATCCAAGATAAAAAAAAAAACATTTTAGAGAAGAAAAGTATACATCAAATTAGATGTGAATGCTACAAAAAATATATTGGTCAAACTAAACGTAATTTGAAATATCATCTTAATGAACATAAAGGTTGTGTACGTAACAAAAAAATACTAATTTCTCCTCTTGATGAAAACATTGTTGAAACAGATCATTCAATACAATAGCACGGAACAATGATTTTAAATGAACCTTATAGCCAAATTGAATTTATTGTGCACTTTAAACGTTGGTCTTGTTTTTAATTTTAAAACTTAAAATACTGTTGTCAATAATGGATGGTTCGTCCAAAAGAGACAAACATGGAATATACACTGTATATTATAAAACTATATATTCATGTATAAATTGAATAAACTTTCATATGTGTGTATATATATATATATAGAAAAATAGATTGTTGAGGTATGAATACGTTACACAATATTTGAAAAACATTAAAGAAAATTTGACGAACTTTAGTGTGGATAACTATCATAAAGCCCCTCGATACAGAAATGTTTCTATAAAAGATATATTACAACTTTCATACTACAAAAATTAATATAAGGTGAGTTATTATTTATAGTTTAATGAAACAAACATAAAACTGTATGACTTTTTCTAGACTATTAATACTGTAGTTTGATTACTAGAGACATTGGACACAGACTTTACGATTCCCAAGGTTTATACAATTATGTACTTGTATCCAGACATTTTTCCAGGTCAGTGGCTTTCATGCTGAATATCGTGATGAAGAAATTCATAATTGTAATGATGCACACAATTATCAAAGTTGAATTATTTAAAATAGCAGCCTGACGTTTATCTCGTGGACTTCTGAAATTGTAACATCCAAGTAGAAACAACGACATACTAGCAGAAATCTGAAAATAATAAGATTTTTAAACATATCTTCTGTCGTGGTGTAAATTATTGAACAGGTGAGAATTTGAGTAATTTTTTAAATATAAAAATTAAATGCGACTTCAAAACATTTGAAATAAAAATACTTGTATTTGAAAAAAACGTTCAATGATGTTCCTAAATAATAAACAAAGTAAAGACAAACCATGAAAACCAAGTCATTAAAAATGTTAATTGATATACTACCATTGGCAAGGTTGTTCAATGAAAATACTTACACTGTCCTACAACCTGAAGTAGAAAAATAAAAATAATGCCTACACAGCAAAGGAGATGATGACATTCGTTACCCGATCATGTAACATAGAATTAAAAAAGTTGTTGTTTTTACAAGTTGAATTTGTTAATTTTTATTTCAATGCTTTAAGCATGTTTAGTAAAGACAAGTCCATAGTACGTTTTACTAACAAATATACTCTATGGCTTTGGCACAATTCGTCTAAAAACAAAGCTATGCAACCAAAAGATAAGGAAAAAATTATTTCACTAAAAACACACTGTACCGTACAAAAATAAACCGTCATCATGAGCTTGATTGAAGGAACGTTCATCGTTCCAAAGCGCTCATGTTACCTTTTGTTTTTAACTGCAATTTATCTAGTTTTGATCCTACTTTTATTCTGTAATGTCGTGTATTCCACTAAAAATGCTAATGTATAGTGAAAAAATGGCGGTTTGCAATTAAAAGGATAATAGTAATAACCAGACCTCAATTATTCCAATACATACATCGTTATACAAAAATGAATAAACTCTACGATTTTCTACTGACAAAAAAACACACAGAAAACATAGTAATTAAAGGCATGGGATATGTAACACAAAGATACGAAACCCTATAGCGCGAGAGCTATAGGGTTTCGTATTTTTGCATTAAATTTATTTCTTGAGCCTACGTGTTTTCCTAATATCATAAGATATGTAATGATACCTAACACTATCATAAAGCATCAACATCAGAATATGTACAGATAATACCATATAATATTAAACAAATCATGATCATAAATACGTTAACTACACAGAATGCAAATCTGATAACAGAAGTACAAGCAAAGCATGCTTATCATCAGCATTTCAGCAATGCATTAGAATATCCTGCAAATAAAATAAAACACAGAACAGTACGATAAGAATAGTACGATAGACACAGAAATACTATCAATCAATTATAGTACGTATGGCAACAGTGCGGTTTATTTTATAGCTAGGGCTATTTGGTGTATTCACCATGAGGAATCGAAACCCGGATTTTATCGATGTAAGTCCGTCACTTACCGCTGTCCCACCGGGAGATGCAACAATACAAACTACACTAACATACAAATAAAAAACTACTACAACTGATAATGATCAGCATAGCAGTTATGGAGTGAACGTCTCTTCTAAGCTGGCGAAGGTTGATTTTCGCAGGCAACTCTTCATCATTTGGGCATCCCTTATGCTTGTGTCCCCTTTTAGCACTACATGTACTGCATGTCCTGC